ATTACTGTGTCAATTTCCTTGTTTGTTATTGGGTGGTTAAGCATATTTATTTCTTGGGTTAATTTTTGGTAATTCATATATGTCTAGGAATCTGTCTTTTTCTTCAAACTTTAATTTGTTAGAATATAATTTTTCCAAGTATTCTATCTTCTGGATTTCAACAGTGTGTCTTGTGATTTCATCTTTTTCATTTCTTATTATAAATGTGAGTTTTTTCTCTATTTCTGTTGGCAAGTCAAGCTAAGGGCTTATCCATTGTACTTTTTCTTTCAAAGAATCAGCAGTTCAATTTGTTGGTCTCTTTTACTGGTTTTTTTCACTCTCAATTTCATTGATTTCTGCTCTCATCTTCATAATTTCCCTCTTTAATTTTGGTTTAGGGCTGGCTTCTTATTGTTTCTCAAGTATGCTGAGATTTTTCAATAGGTTATTTATTTGGGGCTACTATGTTTTCCTAACATGAGCATTGATTGTGATGAGTTTTCTTCTAAGAACTGCTTTCACAGTGTCCCAGAGGTTTTCGTGAGTTATATAATCATTGTCATTAACTTCTGGAAAAATTTTTCATTTCTTCTTTGGTTTCTTCTGTGATCCCCTGGTTCTTTAGGAATATGCTGGTAATTTTCCAGTAGATTTGTGTTGTCTGAAATTTCTTTTGTTCTTGATTTCTATTTTCATTGCACATTGGTCTGACAGCATGCATGGGGTAATTTCAATTCTTTTATATTTACTTAAGCAGGCTTTTGAACTAGTATGTGATCTATTTTGCAAAAGGATTATGTTCTGCTGAAAAGAATGTATATTCTATTGTACTGGGGTAGAACACTGTAAGTATCTATTAAGTACATATGTTCAATGGTGTGATTCATCTCTAATATTTCCTTATTGGTTTTTTTGTTTAGTTGATCTCTCTTTGTGAACATGGGGTATTAAAATTCCCTAAATATGATTATGTTAGTGTTTATCTTTTAATTTTAGCAGTTTTTATAAAGATAAGTGCTCCACTGTTTGGTGCCTATATCTTTATCAATGCTATCTCATTGGATTGTTCCTTTAACTAGTATGTACTGACCTTCTTTGTCTCTTCTAATAAGTTTTAGCTTGAAGTTTACCATGTCTGATATCAGAATTACTATTCCTGTTTTGGGGGTATGGTGCATAAAATATTGTTTTCCAATCTTTAATTTTTCATCCATGAATATCTTTTTGGATTAGATGAGTTTTTGAAAGCAAAAGATTGTTGGATTCTGCTTTTGATCCAGTCTGCCAATTTCCATCTTTTAATTAGAGAGCTGAGAGTGTTTACACTGGGAGATATGACTGAGATGTGATGATTATTTACTATCATCATCTTTTTTATCTATTGGCAAATCCTGGGGTTTTTTTCTTGACCTTTTCTATTGCTGTTACTCATTGACCTCACTAGTCTCCCTGTGCTTTTAGCTGTGTCAATTTCATTATTTCTGTCAAGAAGGTTCTTCATTATTTTGAAAACTGGTTTCCTACTCATATCTTTTCAGCTGGTTTTTGTCATTGAATACCTTACTTTTCCATCTATTTTAGCTTTGCTGGATTGGAAGTTACTACTTCAAGGGCTTAAAATACTTCACTCCAAGCTCTTCTAGCCTTTAAGGTTTGTGTTGAGAAGGCTGCTGTGATTCTAATTGGTTTACCTTTACATGTGATTTTTTTCTCTTTGACTGCTTTTAAAATTCTGGTTTTGACCTGGGCATGGTGGCATATTCAGGGAGCTGAGGTAGGGGAATCATGTGAGTTCAAGGCCAGCCTGGGCTACATTATAGTGACTTCAAGAACCTTGTCTTAAAAAAAAATGCAGGGCATTTAGCTCAGTGGTTCCACCACCTGCCTCGAAAGTGCAAGGCCCCAAGTTTAATCCCAGTAACAAAAACAACAACAAAAACAAAAAAACAAAATAACAACTAAAAAAACCATAAAATTCTGGGGGTTTTGCTGGATATCTGGTAATTTAATAAGGATATGCCTTGGCAAGCTTTTCTTATATTTGGAAAATTTTCTTCTATGATTTCTGTAAACATGTTAGTAAATCCATCTGTGTTATCTTCTAGTTCTTTTCTAACTCTAATTAGCCTTAGACTGGTCTTCTTCTTGTCATTTAGTAACTGTTGAATTATCTTCTCTTGTTCTCTTATCTTCTTTGTGGCTCTTTTGAGGACTTATCATAAATCACTATTTTGTCCTCAATTTCAGACACTCTGTCTTCACACTGGTCATTTCTGCAATTTATTAATTCTATACAACTTTTTATTTCAGGTATTTCTGTCTGACATTTTTCAAAGATTCTATATCCTTATTGAATCTTTCATTCAAATTTTGAACTGTTTTCACCTATTTCCCTGAAATTCACTATGGGTATATTGAGTGAAATTGCTGTAACTTTGGTCTTTCAGAGTCCTGCTACCTGGTATTTCCTTTTCTCTCCCTTTGTGGCCCCGTGCTCTGCCTTTCCTATGTGTATTTCTATTTTCCCCTCCTCTATTTCCCCCTCCTTTTTAGGGGAGTACTGCAGGTTGAGGACTAGAAGAGTGAAGAGACTTTGTGGTTCATATGGAAATTTTTAGTAGGATGTAGCCTCCCCATGAATAATTTTCAGCTTTGTATGTACAGTGCTACTATTTATTGCTTCTGTTATTTACTTTATGTGATTTTAACTGTGTCCCTATCATTTGCTGAAAGAATTACTTCTAGTTATAACAGCATCAACAGAGTCAGTCATATAACACTTCTATATGATAGTCCTTAAATTACATTTTCCCCTTTTGTTTATCCTCTAGGTACACTATGACGATTTTACTATTTGGAGTTGTTCTGCAATGAGGCAGGTGAACTGGAGGGAGAAGAGAAAGTGGGTGGGTGAGGAGTGTTAAACACTAAGGGGGAGGTTTAAGGAGAGACAGTGATGGATGAGAAGAAAATTTTGATGTGGGGTCTTACTCTATTGGAGTAATTTTAGTTAAGTTGAAGAGTTAGTAATGAGAGCTATCAGAGGATATTTGTGGAGGCAAGAGCAAGATATGGGAGAAAGGAGATTTTCTTTGTGATTGAAGAAACTATGTGGCTGTCAGAACCTGCTGATTGGGGAGACAATAGGCTCAGTAAGATATAGAAAAGCCAAAGGCTTACGATGGGGAGAATTGAGGGTTAATACTAGAGAAGACAGGAGTGACTGCGAGGGAGCTAAGTATGGAGAATTGAATACTTCAGAGGAGGAGTTTATATATTTGGAAAAATAATAAAGAAATATGGAAATAGTATTGCTTTGTGGGTTCAAGGTGAAGAAAACAGATATGGAGCTGCAAAGAGGGAGAGAATCTAGACACTTATTAAATCACAGCCAATGGAATTAAAATACCCAAAAGTAAAACACAATAAACACAAGAATCCATAAAAGAATATAACATAACCCCACATTAGTAAGTAAATCAAGAAACAAACAAAAACTCAAACCTATAAGATATCCAATGGGAACTCAGATTAAATATTCCAATGAGACCTTCCATACGTAATTCCTAAGTAGCTTTATCAGAGAGTCTGAGTACTCACACTCCCATAACTCTTCTGATCCTCTCACTGGAATACTGAAGCTAACTCAGACTCAGGACTTCTTTCTGCCAGTTTGCATGCATTCTTACACAGGCTGGTCCAGTCTGAGTTCTTGGGTTAGGAAATCTTGCGACCTGCTCTCTGAGTGTGGTGATAGAATCAGTGGACAGATTCACTGCACAAAAGTTTCCAGTGAGCTAGAGCATTCCTATATGCAGTCAAATCAGCTATAGTAGTAACAATCTAATCAGTTACAGTGGTATCTATCAGAGCAAATTGATAAATAACATACCATGAGATCCAAAGATAACCTTTAGCCTAGAGAAGAAATCCACAGTTACAGTGTTAAGCATCATAACAGCCCAAGTATTGACCAAAGCTAATATGCACTAAATGCAATAGCTATATCTCTTTTAATGGTGGAAAAAAGCATTCAACAGTAATTTTATAGAATCAATTATCTACAGCACAACAGGTTGTGGACCAGGTAAAGCCAGGGGATGGGAGGAGAAAAAACAAACAATAGTTTTTGTAAGTCTTCTGCTATGTGGTATGGGAAGGAGGAAATAGGAAGGGAGCAAAGGATCCTAATGGCAACAGAGGCCTGTTATATATTTAGATGTGGCTAACAAGGAAAAAGGTGCACAATCACTAGTGAGAAATGGGGATGTGAAAGGATTCTATGACTAATATAAATATCGGAGAAAAAGGGAGACAAATGAAAAGGGGGAGAAGCAAGAAAAGAAAAATAGAGAAAGAATAAGAAACAACAAAAATAAGTCAGGTAAAAAGATATGGATAAAAACAGAAAGAATAATAACAATAACAACAAGGGAGAACTACCTTAACCCACTATAAACTCTTTTGGAAGAAAAAAGAAAGAGGAAGAGAAGTACACACACTAATAAAGGGAAAATAATGGAATAAAAATGAGGAGATAAACAGAAAGAGGGAAACTGCAAGAAAGAAAGTTAGTTTTCTATTGTTTTAGATATGTCACTATTTTCCACAGCCTAGGATTAAGAAGCAGAGCTCAAGCCAAGATGTATCTCTGTTCACACTGGAAGACTAAGGTGCCAGTTCACCCCTGGAATGGTGCTGGATGCAGACATCGGCATACAGTGGTAACAGGGTGCCAATGTGACTTTCCAGTCCTGTGTAACTCAGGTTGAATCTGGCCTCCAATTGGAAGAGCCAGATCCCCATTCACCAGCTCCAGCCTGCTCTCCAACCACCAGCTGTCTCCTGTAGCTGTCCTTCCCTCATCCACACTGGGAACCTGACTGTGTGGGGAATGGCTAGAGTCAAGGGTCTGCTCTGGGGCCCAGGTTCAAACACTGATCTCTTCCCTACAATGGCATCCCCACCAGGTCTCACTCTGCAATTGTGCTGGTGAGTGCTGCACCAAGGTTACTCACCAACTGTTGACTGTGGAAGGTCACTCTGGAAGCAGTATCCCTTGATTTTCTTGCTGGTTCCAACTGCCATTGATTCTCCCAGCCCCAGAGAAGTTCTGTGAGTGAAAAGTTTTTAGTTTGACTTTGTCTCCTGGGTGGACAGCTAGCCAGCTGCTCAGCTGCATGGTTTGCAAATGGTCCCCCTCTCCTTCTGTATCATTTAAGCCTTTTTTCCTCTTTTGTCAGTACTCTCCTGGTTTCCAGGTAACCTCTTCTCACTCTGATTCCTCTCCAAGCTACTGTTTTCTAAACTCTAGAGCAGTGATGGCAAACTGTTGTAGTCAGGATTCGGCAAGGGAATGTATCAAATACAGAACACATAACTTATAAGGTTTTTTATGATAATTACCCAAAGAGTCAAATGCAAAGGAGTACAAGAAATTAATCACACACTAGAAGCCCAAAGGATTCAACTGAGGGCCTAGATCCCAGCAGTTTTCCACACAAGTCAAGCTGAAGGCCTAGAGTCCAAGACAATGTCCTCCCAAGTCCAGCCAGTGGCCTAGAGCCCATGGCAATGTGTCATGCTTGTCCGTATTGAGGATCTGTACCTGGAGGGCTCAAAGGCCAATGGTGGAAGCCAGAAAATCCGTGCTGGTGAGATGAAGGATTTCTGCCACCAAGCTGAGGGATCCATATTGGAGTCAGGACGTGATGCTCACAGTAAAGGTCAGAGCTCCCCTGAAGAAAACAGCAGCCATTACCAGTGACAGGGAGGTCCCGAGCTCCTCCTCCGAGAACAGCCTAGTTTGCATCAGGAAAACTATCTGCAACAAGCTTCTCCTAGCAAATCAACAGGCCAAGATCTACTCCTCCAGTTCTCTTTTTATGGTGATTGGTAACAATCTGAAGGTGGATCTTTCATGCCCAGACCACACTAATTCAGTTCAGTTGGATGTTTCAAGTTAACCACTAGTCAATCCACCACACAAACCTTTTAGAGACTGCAGCTGTGGCACATGTGCCATAGGCTTACCACTGCTGCTCTAGACACTTTGTCCTGGAGAAGCTGAGTTGCTGGCACTCACTAGTCTCTGTTATTTTCCCTCCAAGAACTTTTATAAAGGAGTCTTTGGGAGCCTCTTCCATATTGTGACATGTGAGGACACAACTCAAAGTCACTATCTATGAAGAGTAGAGACTCAGCAGACATGGATATCTGCCATTGCCTTGATCTGGAAGTTTCCAGGCTCCAGAACTATAGACCATAAATTTCTAAGGCATTTTTTAAGGCACTCTGAGAGGATGGGGGAAATGACACAGGGTGCAATAAAGGACAGCCATGAACATAAAATTTAAAGAGGCACAGAGAGAGGTCCAGGAGGTTTCCCAGGGCAGCAGCCTTTGGCCCCATGCAATCAGGGTGTATGACCTCCACAAGGATTTCCTCATTGATTCCCAAAACTATACATTCCAGGGGTTTTTCTGAAGATTTAATCATATAAGCATCACCAACTGTTTAATCCATCTCTAGCTGATGGGGTGAGGGTTGAAAGTGCCAAGCATGTTGTCTTACTTACTTTCTCATTGTTGAGACACAATACCCAACACCCACAAGTTACAGGAGGAAAGGTTTATTTTAGGTCACAGTTTGTAGAAGTTTCAGTCTACAGTCAGCTGGCTCCAGAGCAGGATGGCATGGAGGAGAAATAGTCCATGGTATGCCAGGCAGAAGGCAGCAAAGCAGCAACATTGAACCTCCCTTTTCCTTTTATTCCACTCAGGCTACAAGCCTATTGGATCATGCTACACCTAGGGTGGGCCTTGCCATTATCCACACCCAGAACTACACCAAACCAATCAGTGGACTAATTTATTTATCATGCACCCTGAATCCATACTCACACACTGTAAATCCAGCCATCTAAAAAAAGCCCCACCTATAAGCATATAAGGCTTGGAAGGAGGGTCTAAATACAAGCCATAAGGCATTCATTTTTACTTACTACCTTCCATCCAGAGTCCTTATGAGAATAAAAGGCATGTCACAATAAATATTTAATTTACTAAAATATATTGGAATAATATTTAACTGATAAATAAAATGTAAAAAATTTTGAGGGGAATTGTTCCATTTATCAACCTTAACCACAATCCTAACCTACCTACTGAACCCCAATCTGAACTAGAAAACTATCACTAAACCCTAACCTGAACATGCACCTCACCCCAATTCTTACACTGTAACCCTGTAACCCTCACCCTAAACCTGAGCTTAACACTAATTTCTAACTTTAGCCCTAAACCCTAACCCTAACCCTAACTCTAATTCCTAACCCTAACACTAACCCTAACCTTGTATCTCACCTTAATCTGGTCTAACTCTAAACATAACCTTAACTCAACATTAATCCTAATCCCTACCCTAACCTAGCATTAAACCTACCCCCAAGCCCAACTCTAGTATTAAGAAACTAGGGCAGGGATTTAGTTCAGT